ATCTCATATATTTCAATAGAGTTCATCGGTCGTAAAACGAGTTCTTTATATATTTTTATGTTTTTCAAGATATTTTGACCAAAGTCTGACTCCACTGAGCTCGCAGTTTTTTGCTTTAAAAGCATTTAATCTTTAAATTCGGCGTGCTACAACTCCTTGCTGTTGATATTTGTGAGTTTTTACGGACGCAATTATCGGCGATGACCTTGAAAACGAAAGTCGCTTTTAAGGCTCAAGGTGAGCTTAATTAACAACCACAATGGCCAAATACTTTTCCATGTGTGCGTGCGTGTGTGTGTGAGCCTAAAAGGGATATATATGTACTTCCATCGCGTGCTAGGCAGACGTCTAGAGTTCTTTGTTTTACACCAACTACAACTGGCAGCCGCTTAATATTTCTCTAGGTTTTCTATTTTTCTTCGCATTTTACTCGTTTTTTTAAATTTAAATTTACAAAAATTTCTTATCGCTTACAATTTGTTTAACGAGCAATTTTATGTTAACACGAAAAAGAAGAATTTAATGATAAGAGTTTTATTTGAATGGAAATGTTTATTCTTTAACGGACTTCTTTGGCCCTCGGATATTTATACTGAAGTATATGTATACTGCATTATTATACATTATATATGTATGTACTTATATTTATAAAAACGAAAAACCGCACACGCAGTATAAACATGTCGACATGATAACACAAATGTTTTTGCCCAAAAGCATAATCTTTCGAACATTATTATACCATATTTATCAAAATATACCCATGTATTTGCAAGTTATACCGAAATTTCCAACAGTCAGCAGAAAGCATTTCCTGAATTCATATAAGTCAAATGTTTTGTTACCCGATTATATACGATTCATTTAATTTTACTTGAACATACAAAATCACATTCTAAAAGCATAGGAAACATGATGATATATACTTGTTATCACATAGTTCCACGCAACAAATATGACCTTTACATATGCCTACAATATGAACTTGTATAGTTATTAATATATTCTATTAATATTTTCTATTTACCTATGGATATGTGCGAAGCCCGTAATATGGCTTTCAAATTGCCGATGACGCTATTCGCTTATGCAAATTACCAAATGCTGTGAGTAAGCTTCATAAATCTGTTACAACGTTACAGCCAATGGATACATAGATACAGATACGAAACAAAAAGATACACAGCACTAAGGCAGTAAATAACATTTGGCGATCAATCACATTGACATGATTAAATGCAAATACTGCCACTGAAGGACATAAGCAGCTCAAAACAAATGAGAATGTTCTAGTCGGGTGAGCCCGACTATGAGATGCGCTACATCAATTTATATTATTCTCTGGAGTTGAAGTTTACTTTGTTTGATCTTAAGGTATGGGCAGGAAGTATCCAAAAAGTTACATGTTCTTAATATCTGAATACTCTACGGAAACCAACATCTTAAATTTGGTATCTCTAGCTCCTAAAAACTTCAAGAAAGACCAAAAATAGTATTTCTATATCGATTCCATGAAAACGGAAAATAAACGTGTTCCGCATGGTTAACAGACGGATCTCAGTTTTAAATTTCAAGTTTCAAGCTCTTATATGAGCTTAAAGCATACGGGCATGGTTAGATCCATTCAGCTATTGCTGAGTATGTGCTATATGCTTAACAGGGTCGGATATTCTTCCTACTGCCTGTTCCATATAATATAATATAGGAATTGAAGAACACTCGGAGTAACAGTTAACATGGCGTATGCTTAATATTCGAATTTAAGCTACAAAAGCTCGAACACAAATTTCAGACACACATTCCAACTATTACTAGACTGCAATCTGATTTTAGCTTATTTTTAGGAGGTACCATTCACAATTTAGCTAATAAATTTATCCTGAGGATAAAGTACTTACGCTCACAGCGTACGACCTCGTGATGCGCCTCCTTGGTTAACATTGTCAGACTTTCGCCTATCTGGCGTATCCTCTTCGGCGTGCTCATTAGCGCACTTGCGGTCATTCTGAGTTCGTAGATTTAACAAAACTGTTCCAGGCATATTTACCACTTAGTATTTGTGCCCTCTACATGAGGCAAACAATTAACAAAATGGCAATGCAAAAACTTAGCACTTGGCTGCGCATTTTTCTAAAGTATTTCTGAATTTAGGAGAGCACTCGAAATACAGCCAACACGTTGACGACGTTAAATGGAAGCGAGCGCGTTCAAATTGACGTTCAAACGAAGCGAATGCTCGACATGAACTGCGCGCAGCAAAAGAAGCGCGACATAGTGGGCACGACTACTTGTGTGTGTGTGTGTGTGTGTGTGCTTGCTCGTGTGTGCGGCAAATTCAAATTTGATGGCGTCACTAGCCTGTGGTAAGTAACCGAGCATAGATGCCAGACAGTCAGGTATTCTGTCAGTCTGTCTAGGCAGAGCAGCTGTCTATAGGGTGTGTGTGCACATGCCCGTGTGTGTGTGTGTGTTAGTCACAAGTCACCCCTAAAGGACCTGCACGCACCGATGCCAATGACCGACCCAGTCTGCGTTTCGGGACACATTTTTCAATCCCTGAGCTGGGTATTACGTGTGCATTAGCGTGCCCAGCTGAGTTGACTGTTAATTAGTACAGCCCTAAAATACAACACCTGGCGTTTGTTTGGGCCAGTTTGTAATAAAAACAAGTAGGAGTAGACGGAAGTGCTCGACTAGAAGATACACTGTGTCCTTAACCCATATTTGCAATTGCATTTATACAGACTAACTAGGCTAAATCGATTCATACGTTCATTCTGTACTTCTGAGGGATAGTAAGGTGACTGGTAAGTCCCGGCGTTGTACCACCGGAGAATACGCGAGTGCCAATAGGGATTCTTGTACAATTTACAACATATAACATACTACACAATAGTATAATATGCAATAGCTGTAATACAGATAGCTGCAAGACACTTATACAACCTTAAGCTAACATTAGATAATATATGATTTGTCAAATTGGATAAAATAAAACTATATACCCTTTTTAACCATTTTGAATGGGTACATCGCTGTTTTACATGTTTTAGAATTGAATTGCATTTTTATTTTATGAAAAATACTCGTTTGTTTCTTAAATAAATTAGTAAGTAGATTTATAATTTTAGTTTTTGTATAATGAGTGGTGTACTTGGTGTTAGTTACAAAAAATTGTCGTTTGCATTTTGCTTAGGTTACGATATTTTTGCTTTGTTTTTATTGTTTTTTTTTTATACAAAAAATCTTACACACATAGATAATTACTAAATGTTATTGGTGTTAATTAGACTAAAAATTTCATAAAACATTTGTGCAACAAAAACGCATTGCAATTAATGTTTTGTTTTTTTTTTTACTTGCCCGCTCTATAAATAAATATAAAATTAACATATATATGTATGTATATATATAAATTTGATCAATTTGTTGAAATTATTCGCCGAACAATATAGTAAAAAAGTGTTCGCATTTCTTTAACAATTTGTTGCATATAATATTACATATATATATATATATATAATTAAAACCCGATTGTTTGAACAATTGTGAATCGATAGATCGACTCTCACTTTTGGATACTTATTAGCTAGATTGTCTATACATAGAGCTCGACTACATATAATACTACGAGTAAATGTTGCTTGATTTAATATGGATTCTCGAATTGTAAAATGTATAAATAAATTTTGATTTTGTTGCTTTTATCAACGAATTCTACGAATCTATAAATCAAACATTGAAATAATGCAATTATATATTTTTGGATCGAAATTAAACGAGTCCTGGGAACTCCCTGATTTATAAAAAAAAAATATGTTAGTGCATGTTAAACAAAACTACAACAAACAAAGCTGTGCGAATATTAAAATCAAGTTAATTATAAATTGTAATATAAATTATGCACTCATCTGGGTAAAGCTCAAAATAAATAAAATTAAATAAAATCAATAATGTTATTAAATTAAATTTGAATAATTAGCTTTGAGTGGACGCAAGTAACATGGAATTGCTTTTAAATCGAACAAACTTATGAATTAATACGTAACTCTTGTAATTCCAATGCGTTTTGCAGTTTAGGGAATTGGAATTTTGGCAAATAAATAGTGAAATACAGTGATTAGTTAGACTAAATTAGCAACGATATGAGTGAAATAAATTACAATATAAATAGGAAATATATAGGAAATTTATAAAAACATAACAGGAAACGTGTGTGTGTGTGTGTGATTTGCAAATACTTTTCATGTTTCAATAGACCTCCGCGATGGCTAATCGACTAGCCGCCTTGGACAGGCTTGCTTGCAGCGGGGAATGAGCTGAGTTAGGGGATGGTATTATATAGTAGTAGTAGTTGTGGTAGTAGTATCTGTTGTGGTTGTTGCTGTTGTTTTTGATGTTATTGTTGTTGCAACTATAGCCAGTGCGTGTTATAGTCTATTTGATGCGACGCAGCGGCAGCGTGGGACTCTCTGGTGGTGTATCACCGCCCGCCGCACTGCCACCGGAACTGCCGCCCACCACAATATGTTGCAGCGAGTGCTTCTTGGTAACGCTCTTGAAGGGCGCGCCCAGCTTGCGTGGACCTCGTGGCGATGCAGAGCTTATGCTGCTAATGGAATTGGCCTCCATGGCTGCTGTGGAGCCAGCCGAGGCGGAGGGCGCTATGCCAAGCGCCGGCGCTGCATCAATGGATGCCTGTACCCAGCCTGCAAGCAAACACATGTGGGTTTAGACAGTGATTCGACATATTCATATGGCATTGTAGTTACCTTTGACAGAGGCGCGATTGGGATCAATTAAAGCGGCTGCAAGGGGCGCGCCGGAGCTACTCGAATTAGACTCACGCAAAGTACTCAGCGTCGACAACGGCATTGGATTGTAAATGCGACTGGCAAAGTCCTCGAATGTAGTGCTCTCCTTGTAGCGCGACGAGACGCTGTCCAACGAGCGATTGCGCTCCTCATAGCTGTCAGGAAAAGAGCAACAACAACAACAATAGTTAAAACAATTTGCCAAAGTCAGCTTAAGGTCGACTACTTACAATTGCTGGTAGAGCGGCAGGGCGGCGCGCTTGGTGCGACTCGCATTGATGGCCGTCGCGCGTATGAGCGTGGCCAGACAGGCGCCACTGACGACTGACTCATTGGCAAGTGGCCCAAACCAGGGCACCTCTGGCTTCCGATTGACCGTCACACGAAACAGTCCATTACGCAGAGGATAGACAACGATGAGCACATCGCAGAACTCCGTTGGCAGAATGTCGCGTCTGTAGTCGCGATGATGCTCGCTCCAGACAATGTGCACCTCATCGTTGCCCAGATGACGCGTCTTCAGCAGCATGGCCTCCGACGAGTCGGAGGGCATGCGCGTTGCCACATGATAGACAACCTCCAAAAAAGGCGTAGCATAATATGGCGCCGTGGCGCCACAACCCTGACGCGGCAAGCCGCCCAGAAAACCATTGTGCGTCTCCAGCTCTATCTCCCAGCCGAGCGCCGAAACGAACATCTCGTACATGCTGCTGCCATTGGTGTTGCGCAAGATGCTCGTCTTGTCCTCCTGCCCGGCGGCCACATAGATGACGGCCATTTTGTGCGTCTCCCGGCACTTTTGCAAATCAACGTTGCGCAGCTCGCGCAACAATTTCTCGCTGCGCTGCAGCAGATGGGTGCGCGAGCGTCGCTCCCAGCCGGCCAGGCCCAGATGGGCAAAGAGCAGGCGACAGTATTGAAAAGGCGTCTCGACGCGGCCCGGCAAGCTGCCACTGCCGCCGGCGCCCGTGAACGAGTCAAACGAAGCGGTTGTACTGTGCAGCGAACGCTGATCCGGCTGCTGCTGCAGCAGCGATGAACTGGAGCCCGCATGCCGCAGCGAGGCAGCCGTGGGCGTCTGTTGTGATTGGCGAGCGACAAACTCCTGTTCCAGCACACGCTGATTGAGTATGATGGATATGGCCTGCGCCTCCTGGGCGCTGCTCAATGGACTGCAGCTGGGCGCATTCAGCTCGGCGACCGTGGGCGGCACACATTCCGGACTGGTGTGACCAATATAGGCCAGCATATCGTCCAGCTGATCCAGATCGGGCGCCGCATCCTTGGCCAGCGGCAGCACACCGGCTGGACGATGCCGCAGTGTGTGTCGCGGCAATTGCGGGTCCTGGTGGGCCAACGAATCCATGGGCTGACACAGCTTTGTCAGCCGCGACGGTCCATCGTAGCGTTCCGAGCTGTACTGGGCGTGCGCGGGCGCTGGCACGGTTTCAGCCTTGCGCGGCTCCGAATACAGTATGGAGGCGTCCCAGCAGGCTTTGCCGTTCAGATCGCGCATGAGCACACGCACCTGCTTGTCGGCGGTAACCAGGCCGGCCGTAATGCCGCCACCAGGCAGCTTCAACGTGGGCAGCTCTATAAAACTGGCCACCAGGCCCGTGTTGAGCATGAAGAGCTGCATGTTCTGTGCATTGACCACCGAGGGCAGCTCCATGGAGTCACGACGCTCCAGTTGACTGCCGCCGCCGCCGCTGGCGCCATTTCCGACAATATCATCCTGCTCCTCCACCATGGAGCTCAGGCGTGATGCACCAATGCCCATGGGAAAGTGTCCCAGATGCGTAACCAGATGCATAGCAACCGCTCGGGCGCACAGCCTTATGGCCGAGATGCAGGCCTGTATCGTCTCCGATGTTTGATAGTTAGCCTCCGGCAGACGTCCATCGCCCTGCAGATCATCGCTGGCAATGTGCATATCGAAATCCTCATCCGAAGTCAGTTTGACGCGTTCGTGTCGCGGCGCACCGGATGCCACCTGGAGCAGGACGCGCAGCACCTGCAGCACCAGCGTATCGCCCTGGTCATTGTAGGGCGTCAGCATCAGGGCAGCTGGTATGGCCATGCAGAACTCGCCGAGGCAGAGCATCAGCGATGTCAGCACCACCTTGTCTGCATCCTTGGGCTTCGAAACGTTCTGTATGTCCAAGGCACGGCACAGTGCCGTTACAATCAGGTGCGGCACACGCTCAATGGCCGCCAGTTGACGTCCGCGCTCCGCGCACAACTTGAGCGCATCCACTGCGATGACAGCGATGGTGTGATGCTTAAATTGTAGAGCCTGGAGCAGCACCTGCAGCACCTCCCGTATGCGCGGATGAAAGCTATGCGCATGCGTTTCCTTTGGCAGCAGCACATCCTTGGGATGCGGCACCGTTTGCTGAAACGGGACACGCTG